GATGGATGGATGGATGGATGGATAATTGATGTAATTGATTTAATGGCACAATAATTTATTTGTCAAACTACTTTTTGACCCTATAATTTATTTTAATACGCCAGTTATATATTTATACATTTATTTCCAATAATGATAGGTTTGGTCCTCCATACTCTGGACGAGTCCTCTGTGATTAAAAAAGTTTTGTCTCTTCTCCATGAGATTTACAAGTATTCTCAGCCTTATAAGCAGAGCCTCCACATGGTGGTGTAAGACTCCAGGTCTTAAAACACTTTTCAAAACTTAAAATAATGAGGAAACACAGATTCTTTTCCCAGGAAGACTAAATACCTCTCTGTGGTGAAGTGAGAAATACACAGACACAATAATTTGCCACTTCAGTTGGTTCAATTTTCTAAAATAAATTATATTTATTTACAGAACAAAATAAACCAATTATGTACCTTACAGTGACCAAACAAGTTAAATATAATAAAAACTGTTTGTTCACATGCAAAAGAGGACAATCAGCCAAACATTAGTCTGATGGTTTTCTTTTTAAATCCTCAGACTGAAGAAGTCTCTTGGAGAAGAGATAAATTTTTTTTGGCAAAGAACGTTTCTAGAAGACCTACTCAAATTTAGATTTGTCTTCCTGAATTATTAAAATGCATCAGGACACTGATTGTAAAGTAATTTTTTTATTTGTTGCAAAATATGGAAGCTGGTTTGTGTTGTTCAAATTTTTGTGACATTTCTGATTGGTAATGTAAGTAGTAAAGGTTGTTTTTTTGTACTTTTGTCCTGTCTTCTGTAGAATGGACCGGCAGGAACCAACCTCTCTGTTCTGTCCAGGAACCCTCTGGCAGCCACTCATGAATTTCGCCAGGCTTGTCATGCCTGTTACAGCCGAATAGGTTGGGAAAAATTAACATTTAGCTCTGCTTCGTTTTTTGTGTTTGTTCACAGTTTTCTGTTGCAGCATTGCTGTCTCACGCTGGAAATTTAAGACCACATTTGTTTATGTGAAATAGCCAGAATATTACTGTGCAGTGATGAGTTTTAATATTTCTGTAGAATGATAAACCAGGGCTTCTTAACCTTTTTTGACCTCAGGGCCAAATTTATTGAACATAAAGTGACACGAGGTCCAGTCAGACATTACCAATGTATGGATCAAATGATAATTATTATAAATCTTTAATATTTATTGTATTTACATTATAACTAAAGTACCATAACTAACGTAACTAAATAAAATACACTTACAGTTTAAAAGTAAAACTCCTGTTAAATAATCACAAGACATGATTATAACAAACATTTTTATATTGTAACCTGCCCATAACAGTTATTTGAACAAATACAAAGGTCAGTCAACAGACCACTCAGGTTTATCAACACAAAAATATATATATATTTTTATACAAACAATAACAAAAATAGACAATTCAGAAAATAGAATTGTGGCATAAAATAAATAAATTAAAAATGTTTAATGTAAATGTTTCAAGACATCAGAACCTGAACTGGGGAATTCTTTCATTGAGCTCAGGCTGACAGGATATTACAGACACATCGTTGATACATGACTTACATGACTTTCCTGCAATCTAACTAAAGTTAACATATCAGTTGTATTTGATTTATGCATTTTAAGCTCTAGTTGCTTGTATCCATGTGTGTGAGGTTTGAGGATGCAAAAAAAAGCTGTCAAATGTTTAAAAATTTAATCTATTAATTCCAAGATAGCTGTGAATTAATGACGATTAATTTTAAACTTAATATAAAACTTTATTGCATGTTGGTAAAATTAATTACTTGAGTTATTAATTAATGTTTTTATTTAGAAAAAAAGGTGCTTAAACATGATTCTTTGGATATAAAACAGGACCTAAAAATGCTCCAAACATATTTGAGTCAGTTACATTTTGTGCAGAATAATGAGGTTAAATCAAGATTTCATGGATTTTCATTCCAAATGAAAGATAGATACTAAGGTCACAGCTGTCAGCAAAACATACATAAATAAAATAAAATAAGAAGACAAAAAGAAAAWAAAACTGTACATAATGTGTTACACATGGAGGTTTATTTATTTAACCTTTATTTATCCAGGTAAACTGTTTGAGAACCACTTCTCATTTACAAACATGAGCTGACATGATGCACTGAGTGCATTGTAATATACAAACCTACATATTCAGACAGAGTAAAGTGATTGTAAAGTTTAATGGTGATTAAAATTTTTAATCTATGTCCATGATTTACCAYATTTACCTCTGGGATCAATAAAGTATTTTTGAATTGAATTGAATTGAATGCAGCACTAAAATTAATCAGAATTAACTCGATTAATTTCACAGCCCTAGTTTTTATTAAGACTGCTTTATTATGTTGGCGCTGTGTTCATATTTTAGACAATAAAATATTTAGTCTTGACTGCTTAGCTATAAACAAATATGACAGAACAGTAATAAAGGCTAATATTGACAGGTTTCAACGACATAAAATACAGCAACAAAAAAATACTACTATAAAGCTAATTTCTCTCTGGGATCAATAAAGTATTTTTGAATTTGAATTGAAATACTTTTAAACTTGAAATACTCACTTCAAGAATCTCATTTAAGTTGAGACAGAAACATAACAAATAAATTAGTTTCAGCTCCTCTTGTGTCTGTTGCTGTTTCTGTTTTCAGATAATTAAATTATTAGTAACGGGTAATCAAATTACCTGTTCAGCCCTGGTCCTCGTGGACCACCATCCTGCATGTTTTATGTGTTGGCTTAGATAAACTAGATTGGATGAAGAGTCTACAAGTAGGTTATTTTCCACAGGCACCTGCTGAAAAATAAAGCAGATAAGTTGAAGACAACATGTCGATATCTACTTTCATTGTACAAAACTAAAATATTCCAAAATATAAAAGTTCTGTGTTTGGAGCTGCCAAGTTGTATTTTTGAAACCAGTCTGCACTGAGGTTGTGGGACTAAAAGTCCAGTCTCAAACCCTTAAAGGACTTTGAATTAAAAGGCCTAGAATTACTTCAAGGAATGCATGTCACCTACCACCATTCAGGCCAGAGTTTTAGACTAAAATCATTTTATGAAGAGAAATGCAAAGATGCTGTTCAAGTTCAAGTTTATTCATATAACACCAAGTCCCAACACACGTTGTCTCAGGACACTGTAGATAAAAAGAACAATGTAAAGAAGAAA